TAACGATGGTTAGCCAAGGACATCGGTTGTATCGGCCCAAACTAGCCTGTAAGCAGGTGTATGAAATGATGATGATGTGCTGGCAGGAGGTATATACTTTTTTTTGTTTGTTTTTGAATTGGAAAAAAAGGTCAATCTAGTAACAGCATTTAATACCCATTGCAGCATTCTGACTGTCGAGCTTGCTCAGCTCTTCATGAGTTTATTGCTAAGACAAAGATCTCCCACTGCTTTGCAACCAAACTAGAGCTGTGGTAAGAAAAACCACCAAGGAAACTTCTGTGAAATAAACGGACTGTCAGATTAAGTACAAAGGCATTTAGTAACAAAATGAAATAATTGCTGAAGCTGTGCTGGTCATGATTATATTTGTACAAATACTCCTAGCAGAAAAGAATTCAGTCAGGACAGCCCAGAGGTAGAGAATCTGAATTTATGTTGCTTCAGTTTATTAATTATTACAGAAACATGCCAGAGTGACTGAAAATATTTTTAAAGGAATACTGCATACTTGACGATAAAGGAAATCTAGATTAATTTGCAGTTGAATCTAACTACAAATCCTAAGTTTTATAAAGAAAGATAAAAATACACTGTGCTTTTAGTCCTCCTAACCCAGAAAAATACTGACTGTACAATTTTCAGAGAGGTCAAAGGAGCAGCAAACCCAAATTTAATACTTTATCAACTAAGTAAGTATAAAACAGGTTTTGTATTATTAAAGCAGAAAGTCTCTAAGGATAGGTGCATTTAATGAGATGCCTCTAATTTTGAGAGAGCAATCGAGGAAACCAAGAGTGGAAAGTGGTAGATGATTGATTTCTAGTTAGTGTTTGCCACTAGGAGGATGCTGGGGGAAAAACTGCTCTTCCAGTAATAAAGATGACATGCTGTCTGACACTCTTCTTGGAGGAGAAGGTGCTGGAACAGAGAGCAATTAGTCATCAGACCAACTGGTGGAGGTCTAAAACTTACAAACCAGTTGGTTTATGCAGAAAAAAAATACATTAAAAACAACAGTGGCCTGGGGGGGCGCAGAATGACCAATATGTCTGTAGTTCAAAAAAGCTGTTCCCAGGAGCCACGAAACAACAATCATTAAATTTTGTTTGTCCTTGATAACCTGGTTGAAATGGTCATTAAAATGGAATAATAAATTACCTGGAAGATAATGACAAGTTATTTGTTAATGCTCTTTGAATATTGATTTGTATTTATAAGATTTATATGAACATCAGTGAATTGATTAAAAAGTTATTGATTTCATCAGGGGTTATTAACGATAAAATCTAAGCAGTCATCACGTGGGAGAGAAAGAATCTTGCAAAGAATTGTGAAAGATACTGTCAATCTTTGTCATAAACATGATTAACTGTAGGTACCTCAGTCCTCATTTAATAAATTTATTAATGATTTGTAGAGGGTAGTGAATACTGAGGCTTCAAAGTTCTGCAGGTGACACAAATCTAAAGGGGCTGATAAATAGACAAAAAGAGTGAAAGTTACCCAGACATTCAGAAAATGCTAAACTCTGTCAGCAAGGTCAGCAAAGAGACTACCTCAGCATATTGCTGTAAATAAACAAAACAAACAGGATGTTATGACACATAAGGAACTGCATAGAAAATAAGTAGAGTAGATGAAGGATGCCATTGCATAAGTCTATGACGCAGTCTCATTTAGGAGTCAAAAAAATACCGTTGAAGTAAAAGAGGCTTCAGAGAATGACGCTTAAAATTTTTAGGAGCGTGAACAACTTGCGTAAAGAAAGATTGGAGCAATTCAACGGGGAAGGTAGGGATGAGGAAGAAAAATGACAAAGTGTAGCACTATGCAAAGTAAAGAATTATATAAAGGATGTAGTCCAGCAACAACTATTAATGCTTTTTCAAAGCATAAAGAAAAAGGTGATGCGCGACACATCCAAAATTCACAGAAGGAAATATTTTTGCATGTCACATCTAATGAAATGGTGAATTCACTACCACGGAGTGATAGCAAGACCAATAATTTATCAAAACCAACACAACTTTGTTGCTTTCTGATCATAGCTGTGCATGCTTTTATTTTTAGAAACCAGAGGGACGCCCGACTTTTGAAGACTTGCTTCACACAATCATTGACATTGCAGAGGGTGAAGATGCTTTCTGAAAAAAGACAACAGCAGCATGAGCGCAGGAAAGAAGCCACTTTCCAGAGATGTGGCTTCACCATTTCTTTTTAAAGGCTTGATTCTCGAAGCTGCTGGATGCCGCTAAACAGCGTGGGGAACGTGTAACATCTGATCCACTCCAGCACAAGGAGAGTTTTATATGACGTTGGGAAATGAGCACAGTATCTGCAGCAATACTGGCGGTCTATATTTTCTCTGAAAAGTCAGCACTGCGTAGCTGGCAAGTTGAGCTCTTTATGGAGGAAGAGAATGGATGTGGCCAAAGCCCAGGAGCCTAATTTGCATTTACTGGATTGGGCTCATGTACATAGAGTCCACGTTTCTGAGTTTCTCTTTACACAGGCAGTAGTATTAGTAGTGATTTGCATGCTTAAAATTGAAGGTATCTATAAATGGCTATTTACTGACATTGAAATGTTTCCAGAGATTCTCCAGAAACATTATTTTTCCTGGTTGATGGGTGATTTATGACACATCAAGAACACAAAACATGCCCCTTCCATTTGCACATAGCAGGTTGTTAACAGTACAGTCTTCAGTTTAGCGTAACACTCAAAAAGCTTTGCTTCAGAACTAAGCCATGGTATGCCCCAAGCCATTCTAGGCTGTTTGGTCAACCAGAGACCTCCCATGGTTAGTCTTGATGTTACTCGTGAAAAATAAGTCCAAGATTCAGCACAGCTGGCTGTCAGTGTACCATAGTACCTTGTTTTGGATTAATTATAAAATAATTTATATGCTGTATGTATTGTAAATATATAAATTCCATGCATTTATTTATATAAAGTGTTTTTTCCTCTTGAAGTTTTCAAGCACAAGTTTGTCCTGCCTTCACTTCCATACACAACTCAATACATGGGGTTGTAAATGAAGGACAGTACACTCTCAAGTGTGTTTAAGGAGGGCTCCTCTTTCTGTCTGTTATCTGAACGTACAGTGATCTAACCTTTCTGTTCTTAACAGAAACTGTCATACTACACATGTATGTGAATAAACTGAACGTTAACTATTGTTTGGAACCAACTAATGCATTACCAATAATTTACTGTGAGTGCATCATAAGCCAAACTCATTTTTCATGTGAACATGGTGTTACGATAGGCCATGTATGTATGTATATAGCTCTGTGTGTACATACTCCATACTGAATATATATAGTAATATGAATATATATGTTTAAATGAATTTGGCCATGATGAAATGTTCAGTGCAGAGATGCCTGAACTCCCTGCAGAAGTTACGTGCCCTTTCCCCCTGCTAGAGGCTAATGTCTCCACAGCCTTGCTGAAAGCTGTTCCAATTAACCTGGTGTTGTACCCGTGGGTGTGAGGAGTATCTGCACTTCAGTTTTGCTGTTGCCACCTCCTGAGTAACTCTATTACGTGTTTTCTTTTTCTTTTGTTACCTGTGCCCTTGTGCCAGGTGTAATAGAAAACAGATTACACAAAACCTTTTTTTTTTTTTTTAGTTTTTTTTGCAAGTAGGCAGAGAGGAGTATGGAGAAGCTTATTTCCAATCAGATTATTACAGGTGACTGTTGTTAGCTTAATCTATTCCATCGTTGCTGCATTTGAGTATTTCTGTAATCAGTTTTGGAGATGCTTTGTCTAAACCTTTATGTTCAAAAGGAGGAAGCCTCTTGTTTCTTGGAAGAAATGTTTTCCTTTTCTCATGCTATTCCATTGAGAAGTTACAAGCTGTCAGAAAAGACTTAAATTGCTATTTCCTTTTCCTTAATGACAAAATCTCAGAAGATTATGGCAACTATGCACACAAACCTGTCAAAGTGGTGAGTCCAAATTACCACATCACTACCAAGCACATGTATTGTTAAGGGGGAAAAGCTAGGATTTTGTACCTGGAGTACAAAAAGGAACATGGAAGATCTAAGGCAAGCCAGGCTCATCCTTCCTTCCCTAACTGCTCCTTTGCACCCTAGTTTCTCAGTGGAGACCCTGCAAAGTATGGCATTGCCAACACTTTCGGCACTACGTCATGAGGAATTCTACAGTAGTAAGTAATGTTTCCCTGAAAATACAAATGAAGCATAGGAAAAACAGGAGGTTAATAGTTTCCAATGAACCTTAAGTCTGTTTCTATATATATTTATTATTAATTTATATGATAAAACACACGTTAACTGCTGACTTTTGGCAGCAGTTTCCTCACTGAGGTGGGTGCTTTAAATCAGACCCCTTCGCCTGCCTCTTCCCAGTACCTGAGGATAATTTCTGCATACCTGTCATGGGGTTTGATACTTAGGATGCCAGGAACTGCAAGGCACCTAGTTTTTAGATGAAAGCATTTTTTTTTCAGTTGAATGTAGCCTTAGATGATTAATTTTGGAAAAGATCAGAACACCTCTGGAGGGAGCTGTCCTTCTGACTCTCCCGATGTCTTCAAAGGCAGGTTGAAATACCGCACCATCATTTCTTCTGGATGAGCTCACTCATCCTTAAACAACTTCAGTCCTTCTTCTTCCTTTTAATTATAACTGATTTTTTTCAAATTTGGGGGTCAAAAATTCATCTGAACAGCACCAAATGCTGTGATTTACATCTGCTTTTTTTTCCTTTTTTTTTAAAGAAATACTTAGCCCTACTGATTACAGTTTAATTTTTTTTTCTGTAAAATGTGTGTTTGATACTAGAAAGCAGACCCTTTTCTCACTTTTTTTTTTTTTTTTTTTAAATGTGAGATTAATATCTGGTCTGTTTGGGGCTTCCTTTATTTCAAAAAAAAAAAAAAAGGTAAGCAGGCGGGGTCAAGCAGTATTTGTGGTTTACTGTGTTCCATATCAGAGCAAAGAGCTCCGCTAGGGCTGTTTTACTGGCACAACTGATGAAGAGAGGTTTGCATTTTCATTTGAATATAAGCGGACAGCCAGACATGATTCTTTCTACCTGTAAGTAAACTGGGCCACGTATTTTCATCTTGCAGTTCTGTTTTGCACAGCAGAAGCATCCTTAGCAAATGAGCTCTTTAATTATTGCCATAAAAATACCAGCCAGCTTTCTCTTGCGCTGCTCAGGTGGTCTCTGTTCAGACTGCTTGTCTTGACTTTCAAAATTACTGCACAAATATGAATCCATTGTTTGATGGAATCAGCAAAGCAACTACTTTGCCATACAGGTAGGGAGATAGTCCCACCTACTGTCCTTAAAAGCATGTACAGCATAGACATGGAGAATAAGTTTGGTAGAGCTAGAGCTGTCTTTCCTCCAGAGCAGAATTAACTTGCAAGAAAGACAGAAAGCCTCAGCTTGCGCATGTGAAAAGCTGAAAGCTTGTCTTTTAAAGCATTTTTAGAAGCAAACTATACTGTGGCTCTCTACTAGATGATTGATTTTCTAGTACTGTTGCAAACTGACAGACATGCCAGATTGGGAGGCATACCATGTGTTGGAGTAGAGGTTTGGCTTTGATGAGGGAAGCTGAGTTTGTAGTGCTGGACGCAGTTAACCTGCTGCCGCTGCTGCAAGAGCAAGAACTTTGTGCAAAACATGCTGGAAGAGCACAAATCTTAGACATAGACTACAGCACATCCAAAATCAGTAGTGCTTTGGGAAACAATGAATCAGAAAAAGAAACTCAAGCCAAGAAACCCATGATATGATAAAATTATAAAATGCGAATTATAAACATTAATCTCTTAACTTCTTGTTGCTTTTTATCTTTGTTACTGCTTCCCCAAGGCTTCAGATTAGAGTGGGTTATAACTGAAGATAGGAGGAAGATTGCACACATAAAGGTGTGTGAATTGGCCACCTATACAGGCAACGTTAGCAACCCAAAGCATACTGCTGGGTGTTGCAGGACTTTACAAGGACAGCTACTGGTAGCAATGGACCATCGCGAAGGAATTGCGTGGTTTCACTCTCCCTTCTCTGTTTTCATGGGGCTATCTTTCAGCTTCTCAAGCAAACAGCTGTTCCTGACAGCTGACAAATCTTTTTATTCTTCCTCTAGCATGCTATCTGCTCCGCTGTGCCCAGATAAATTTGTTTACAGCAAACAAAATTATCAAAATGTCAGCCGCAAATTTTTAGGCTGAATATTTGTCAGGCTAGCTTCAGCACCAGTCTCCTAGTATTTCCACTTCATCCACACGCTTCTCTTGCCATGATATCTTTTCTCATTTCAAGGCTGTGCATGCTAAAAGGTCTGATTTGGGGTATTGGAATTTGATAGGCTGTCATGGCTCGGTGCTGGTGTTGGGATTCCTACGCGTTAACCTGTCACCAGGGAGATAATACGACACCGTTTTTAAAACTTCCTCCTAATGCAGTCATTTCCAGAAAGAAAAAGACATGAGCAATGAAATGGGCTCTGTGTTTTGTTCCTGTGTTTTTCCTCAGCAATTGGAGGAATTAAATTCTCCACACAACTGAAGAAGGAAGATTCAGCAAATTCTAGACTCAACAGCTCAAATACTCATCTTGTTTGATTTAAACTTAGGTTTTAAGCTACTGACTTTAATTGCTCTGTGATGACTTGCCCTGAGGATCAAAGCCAAATGTGTTTTGGTAGCTTCTGTTTTGGTAGAACTCAGGGAAATGTGAACTGAGGGGTCTAGTGGGGCTGTGGATGCTGGAGAAACCTTCCTTCCCGTGGATTTAAAAGGATCAAGATTTTACCACTTTTTCTGGAAGTTTTGGGAAAATTTTTGGTTATGTGGGGGCCTGAAAATAATGATATGTCCATAAATACTTCATTTTAACGGCCTTAAAAAAATAATTTCCTGTTAAAAGTGACAGGATAGTTCTGTTGGCCTGTTATTTCTTTCCTGTGTCCTGTCCAAGCTGCCTGTCATTCATAATATGGTAAATCTTATTGGTGTCTCTGTTCTGTTCAAAATACGGAATCCAAAATGTGATTTCCTTGCTGACGCACAACTCTCACTGATACCATCACTGATTAATTTTTAATTTATGAATTCTTCAAAGTGGTTACTTCAGTTAGGGACTGGGGGGGCAAAGCCTGCTAATACGTATGTGACTCTAATAGCCTTTGACAAATCCAGAGTGTTTTGCTTGAGAAAAGGTCCTTGGTCCAAAATTGAAGGAAATCAAAGAGAATAGTTCCATTTAGTTCAGTGATTTGAGTTGGGATGTAGCAGAAAGGAAAATCAAAAGAAATATTTAAAACAGGGAGTAAATTTGAATTAATTTTAAAAGATAGCAGTATTTTTTTTTGCATTAAAATGGAGGGTCTTAAAAATTATTGTTATTTCTTCATTTGTCTGATGGCTGTTGAACAGAAGAAAAGCAAAAGGAAGGAAGAGCCTGAGTCTCAGGAGGGTGTGTGAGCGGTAAGAAGGTTCAGGCAGGAAATGTGGGCTTCCTGTTGCCCTGCAGTGAGCGCTGCCATGGCCCCGGGAGGCAGCCCTCACCCTAAGCATCTCCCTCTGCCGCTAGCAGAAGGGCAAGATGCGAGCCAGTTTAATCAAATTACTCATTCAGCGTAGCAAAGCTTTCGCCATCTGCAGTGTTCGCCAAGTCTTTCAGAAACAGCATCGCAGAGCAGGTTTGGGCCTTTCTGTAGTGAGTTAGGAACTCAAAAAATACAATTTTAATCAAGGGGAGGAAAAGCGTTGTACAAGAAGCTTAGCAGTGACCAGGGAGGATGTAAAATGCATAGATCAATACAGAGGTCTTTGCCTGAGATGCTGAGATTCCAATCCACCAGGTCAAAACTTCCTGACTTAATTCAATTTCACTAAAGCAGCACTTAGCTCCATAGAACCACAGGCCTTTCTCTGTGTTCCTTGATAACGCTTCCCAGCAGACCGGACAAATTTCCAAACAGAAATTAACAGTTTGCACTGCTATAATTTATGCTTTAATTAATTTCTACTGAGCTAATTCCACAAGTGCTCTAGGAATAATGCATGGACAAAAGAATTCCAGAAGTTACGAGGTTGCTGACATCAGATGTGTAAAGACAGGTTTGTTTTCAAAGAGCTGGAAATGCTCTTCTTCAGGATGATAAATATCCGCTGGATTGATACGCTCTGGTTTGACACTTAAAATGCTCCAATAAGGAGAATGAGGAGAAGCAAACTGCAGAACTGTGCAAAGTTTGTGCAGCTCCTCAGAACCCAGCAATTCAGTTCAGCATGGGCTTATCTGGCCCATGGCCTTAGTCTAATCTGAGCCTCCACTTTTCTCTTGCGGAACTTGGTCATGTTTTGTGAGCTTTAATTGGTTCAACACTCTAGCCTTGAAAAAATTGCTCATCAAATGAAGCATATGTGCCAGGAAGGACTGTAATTAAAGCTTTAACCTATACCCAACCCTATATTAAATGCTTAATACCATATATGATGGAACATTTTAAAAAATATCACATGCATTCATTTATTGCTAATTGCTTTCAGGACAATAAGGCGGGGTCAAACATGAAAAGCATCCGTTAGCAGAGCAAGTCTGAAATTCACTGAAGGCAAAAAGGATTCCTGAGCTTATGCTATAAACTTTGTCAGATCTCAGGGCTCATAAGGAAAAGCAAGACAGAATTGCATGTCCATAACACTGGTCCGAATCCCCCACTTTTATGCTAACGGCCAAATCTTTCAAATCTTATTAGAAGATCATTCTTACACCATATTGAAACTCTGCAGTGCTGCTTCTAAATATTTTTGGTAAGTGTTCTATAAGGAGACTAAGTTGTCTAACGAGAAATAATATATTTAATTACACTAGATGGTTTAATCAGAAGAAGTAGACAAGCTTTCAAATGTCATATTTCTTTTTGCGCATCACTAAATAGTTTATAAACATGAATTAAACTTCATGGCACTGGCTGAAGTGAAAAAATGCTCATGAATTTTTTCACCCATAGTGTTCACTGTTTATGAAACACAGAAGCAATTATAAAGAGAAATGGGAACCTAACGCAGTCTAGGTCAGGGGACAAACACAATTCCTTCCCAAGATATTTAGGAAGGTTTGGTAAGTAGCATATAATTTTAAACAACCTTTTTTTCTAATGAAATTGCCATAACTTCCTCAAAAGGCAATACCTGCAAGACCACACTGCCATGCAATATGCTTCCAAGGCACTAATTAATACTGCTATAGACACTTACTCCTTAACACCAGGACACTACTTTACTCTTGAATTTATGGGGTTGGGGGGGAACAAAAAAGCAATAGTAATAAACCAGAAATAATTCCCAGCTGAATTTTTAAAAGTGATTTTCATTCCAAGCTTGTTCTTACCTAAAACATTAATAATCTCAATCCTGTAGTAAAACAACACTAGAGAGCATGTTCAGTCAAACTTCAACCACTATAATTTTAAACAGCTGAGGGACAGTTTAATGCACACTGGAAAATTATGCAGCAGATAAATTGCATTGCCCATATCTTTTCAGCCTGTTTTTTTCAAGAAAATTTTTGGTGTCAGCTGGCTTGGGTATTTGTCATCGCTGCATTTTGCATAGCCATCAGTGGAAAATTTTATCAAACAGTTGATAGTGTCTTCTGATTACTGTAGGCTCGCCAGCTTCCCACACGATAGGTTCTTCACAGGATGCAACAGTCTAAGGGAAATTGCCCCACGACTTTCAAGATAAATACTCTAACCAAAACACATACCAGACAGGTCTCTTCCTCTTCCAGCTAAGAACTAGTTTTGGTCTATCTTTCTGACATCGGACATTCTCCCTTCTTTTATTAGTGCAAGATTTGCTACATTAGGTACTTTTATTGAGAAAATAATTGCATTTTCATTGTGTAATAAGATTGCTTAATGTTTTTGGTGCTAGGATGCATACTCTCAGCATGCTTGGCTGAAATGTTGGTAACAGGTATTGGCAGAAAGTCTTCCAGAACACCAGAAGGGACATCCTATTTATTCCAGTCTGGATTAAGTCATTAGGATCAACAAGCCAAAAACGCCATGAGAGAAAAACAAATAAAAGCAGAAGACACGGGGTAGGACTGGTGGGAGAAAGACATACCTTGTGGAAGATAAAACAACAAAATACTGAGACCTCAGACATCCTATTTCAAATAACTTTCTGAGGCCTCTTTTTTTACTATGACCTCTGCGGCAGAGAAAAACTCAGGATTTATTGGAGTGGGATATAAAGTTTATTTTCTGTCAGTGCAGCTGAATATGACTGGAGCCTTGTCTCTGCACACCTGGCTCTCATGCTTTCTAAGAGAGCATGTGTTGCATCCGAGAGCCTGAGCCCGGCCCGCTGGTGCTGCTGCCTGCCCTCCTGCCCACCAGCAATGCATGACGGTGAGGTGGTTCAGGGAGCTGAGCTGGCAGAGAGTGATTCCCCATGGGTTTAGCATCCCATCTCGCTCCATTGGAGATGAGATGAGCAGCAGTGCAGAAGGAAAGGGGACAGGACCATAGCTGCCACGGCTTAAACTGCCGTGGGAACACAAGCTGGGGGAAGTAGGTCTCAGCCTGAGTAGAAGTGGACCAGAGCAGATATCAACCATTTATTTACCCCATTCAAATCTTCTTAATGCCTTCCAACCTATTTAATACCATATCCTCTCTGCTGCTCATACAAGATATACTAGATGGATTTCTCTGTAAATGTATGACAGATGCGATGATGTGTCCAATGTATTTGTCTCAGGATTATCAACCACTTGGCACATAAGCGTAAAGCACAACTTTGATAGCATTTAACCTGGGTTAATGCATATATTACATTAATGGCTGCAACAGGAAAATCAGTATTAATTCAAAGAATTGAATGTAGCATGTGTCCTTTAGTAAACCTCACAATAAGAAAAATCTTGCTGTGCAAGTGTGCAAGTATTTGGCTTGAATGGTCTAAAAGTGATGTCATTGCTGAAGGGGACAGTTCTTGACCTCCTGTCCTTGATGATGTTCTCATCTCCTGTATTGTAGTGGTTAGAGCTTGCATGGGGTGGTGTCATCAGTCAGATTGGTACTGATCTGGCTGACAAGGGTTTTTTTTTTCTTTCTTTCTGATTTAGTGAGCTGATTTAATTCATCTCATGACCTTGTAATTGCTAAGGCATTGTAAGGGAGACAGTGGGAGCAAATAGATGGGGCGGCAGGAAAGCTCTGCTGTCACACCAAGACAGAGCTAATAATGGGGCTAAGCACATAAGGCAGTCCTTAATTCTCTAAGTTTTGTAAACAAACAACTGGGAACACTGCAAATACTGGAAATTTTCTTGTTCACAGATCACACCATCCAGTCTGTTTTCTGCTGCTGCTGCTGCTGCTGCACAGTGCAGAAAAGGTATGTGAAATGCTTAAGCTTTTTGGCAATGAGGATGATCAAAGTATTTGCACATAAAGGACTTGTAAAAATCCCTCTATTTTCAGTAGAACTGCTAATTGTACAGAAATCTAAAGATGCTCTACCCTGCCTATCCCTAATATGAAGGAAGGCATATGTATCCATGAATGACTATTTTAATGTGAATATTTATACACATGTATTCACACAAATACTTCGTGTTTTTCAAAATTAGAGCAATGAGAACAAAAATGAACCTGGACTCTGATACTGGCCTGGTGACCCAGTACTCAGCCTCACAACCAGATGTTTCCTATGGATCCACGTGGAAGTGTAGGGTAAGTAAAGTTTTGGGAGGTGAAAAGAGAGAATTGAGGTGATGTGCTGTAATATGGTGGCTCAGTACCAGAACAAGCAGAGGAGTAACTAACTCTTGAGCATGTAAGGTGCTTCATTGTATAAAAATTACAAAGATGTCAGACGATTTATACTGATGTAAATACAAGGTCACAGTGAGGTTTCCCAAGCTCTCTGTCACGGACAAGGTGGTTACTTCTCTCACTTCTGGGTTTGGGTGATGGAGGTGGAAAGGGTGGGACTGCCCTCTTGGGCAGATGCAAGCTCGCCTTGCTCAGCTGGCGTGTGAAACATCCGCCTCAGTTTTGCTAGATTTAAGTTGAATAATCTGAGCTTTCAAGCATAACCAAATGCAAAGCTAGAACCTAGTTTAATGCAAAAGAAAATTATTAGGTTCCTGCTAATTTGCTATGAAAGTCTGCAGCGCTCTCTGTGTTAATTCTCCAGATAAATGACTGAATTTCCAGATGTTGTAACTCCACTGATTTCGATGCTTCTCTGCTTTTATACCAGCTGGGGAGTTGTCCCAGCATTCATACCATGTAGAAGTCACCCCAATTAGGCAGATGGCTTGTTTATTCTTCACTGTACTTTTCATTGTCGTTTTGGCTTCTACACCAAACTACTCAAATGTAAGTCTCGGAGTTTTACAAGTGATGAGGTGATAGTGCTTTACAAGGAGGAGTAATGACCATGATGAGTTCCTTTTAGTTACTGAGATCATATAATAGCAGGGGAATTAAGCAAGCAATAGTAGGGAGAAAAGACTAATTATGAAAGATACTTTTTTTTTTTTCCACTAGCGTAAGAGGCAAGCGCAGTTAAAGAACAAGCCATTACCTCCTCTACCTGCCGAGGCCTTGGAAGACTACACAAAAAAACCCAGAGTTATTGCACTGTATGACTTTTTTGCTAGAGGACCCTCAGATTTACCGCTCAAGAAGTCAGAAGAATACATTATCCTCGAACAGTATGATCCCCACTGGTGGAAGGCAAGAGACCAACATGGGTAAGAGAGTGGGCATCTACCTCCATCTCCCTACACAGAAAGAAAAAAAACCAACTAAAACAACCCCTGCAAAACAAGACAGATAGAATGAGACAGGCACAACAATTTAGGGGCAGGTTTGAAAGAGTTCAGCTATGTACAAGGCACACAGATTGACCGGGCAGAGTTTCAGCAGTGTTTGGTGTCCCAGAAATGGGGGGGGGTGCGGAATCTAGAATCTGTCGGGAATTCAGAGTTAAGCTAGTAAGTAATTTCCTAGACTCAGTAATTTCCTGAGCAACATAAAGGAGTTTGAGGACCATGTGAATCACTGGGCTCTGAGCCATGTGCAAATCCAGCTTTCCATACTTCAAATGCTTTACAATGCAGTGTATATGTATAAACACTTCATAAAGATCATAGAGATTATTAAGACGTGTGCCTGAAACAAAATCCCTGATCCAAAATTCCTGGCCGCTTTAAAGAGCTAGATAATTTCAGTTAGGATCCTTTCCATGTTTATGTTTGTTCCATGTTGTTCCCCTTTCTCCTTTGCATTTTCTTCAGTGTATCCTGTACTGTCTTGCTGGGAATGGTTACATGTTATATAATAACTGTCTCCTTTTCATTCAGGTTTCTCCTTTAAATACTTCTAAATGCTTTTTCTCAACTCATATTTGTAGTGAGAGCCCACTGGATTATTATTTTGTATATACATGCAAGTACACACTTTATACACTTTACACTTAAACAAAAAAGCTTTGTGTAGTTACAAGGTTAGAAATTAAGAGAGTAGTTTCTGATTCAGAAGAAATGTAATTTTTTTCTAAATTTTCTTGTGGTTTGACTTGAAAATTCTCATTAACATGCTGCTCTCAGCACTCTATAAATACCCTATTCCAGCTGATTTGTTCATTTCAGTAGCCATCCACAGAAAGATTGTGTCTGGGATGAAAGGACTCAGACTAGTATTCAATTCCCACCTTGGGATGCAGTATCTAACAACATAGCCAGTAGTATAAGTAACGTTTATAATTCAACAAAAGGAAGATGTGTACCTTAATCCTATTAATATTGTACACCATACTGTAACAGAATCATAGAATCATTTAGGTTGGAAAAGACCTTTAAGATCATCAAGGCCAACCATTAACCTAACCCTGCCATCCCACCACTAAACCATGTCCCTAAGCACCTCATCTACCCGTCTTTTAAATACCTCCAGGGATGGAGACTCCACCACTTCCCTGGGCAGCTCGTTCCAATGCTTGACAACCCTTTCTGTGAAGAAATTTTTCCTAATGTCCAATCTAAACCATCCTCTATATGTCATTGCAGGAATGAAGGTCTAATTCCCAGCAACTATGTTACTGAGAACAAGAAAAGTAATTTAGAAACATATGAGTAAGTACCCTTGAAATTATAATTGCACTTTCTTTTCTAAAAATGGATTTTAGTGCTTGGTCCTTCAGTCTTTATTAGACATGAACAGATGTTTATTGAAAACTCGGGGTGGGCGTTGTTAAAAAACCATTACTCTTAGAATGAAGAAACCATTTTGATTTGGAACTACTTGTGCAGAGAGTGTGACATGAAGTTGTAAACACCGAGTACTTCAGCAACATTCATTTGCATAAATCAGAATGTCAGAATCCAGATGTTTCCTATTTCTGTAGGCTCACTACATAATGTTTCTATATTCTGATCTCTTCCTGTTATGAACATGCATTTAATTGACTAAAAGCTAATTACAATCACAGTGAATGGGGAAAAGAGTTGTCATATTTACAGTGGTCTAATAAAGTCATTCCAAATTAAAAGATGCTTATATACAACAATAGTTCTATCTGGGTTTTTGGACTGGGAAATAGTGTAACTATTAAGATGGATTACTTTTGTGAAACAGAGTGAACATTAATTTTTACTGGCTGAAATTAAAGGACAGGTTATCTCCTTGTTGCAGGTGGTACTGCAAAAACATAAACAGAAGCCAGGCAGAACTTCTTTTGCGCCAGAAGGTAACTCAGCTTATACAAAGAGCTAACAATATCTAGAAGGATCTATCAGTACAGGCATCAAGAGCGTTACCACATTCAAATCCAAATCTGTTCCGTATGCAGTGAGAGAGAGAGAACACTTTAAAATAAAAAGGCTTTCTTGGGTAAGCGTACAATGCAGACTATCCAGAATTCACAGACTTTTAAGTTGCAGCCCCAGCAAATTCTGTATAGATTTTCCACACTAGATAAATCAAACTACACCTGGTTTACTGTGCTTGTCTTATACAAGCTTGTATGAAACATTGAAGGCTGAAATCCATGCAGTAAGTAAGTTAGTGAGGTTAGCAGAGCTTAACAAAATCCCTGCGTCTTCTTTATGTACAGAGCAAATAATCCATAACGTGTTCTACCCCCTATCAGTTACCAAAGTGCCTAACTCAGCTAAACTCATTAGGTCTTTACTCAAGGAATAACACAGGGCTTGGGCAAAACAGACCTGAGAAGAACATCTCAGAACTGTTTTACAGTATTTTATTCTAGTGATTGGTACAATTTGAGTTTTTAATAAATCAAAGCATTTTCACTACTTCACACTGAAGAGTATAATTCATCTAAATTTTTTAATGCCAAGAAATTTCATGGCACTCAGTATTTTCCCTTGGTTAATTTTGCTCTGCTATCTACTGGCTATCAATTCCCATTCTCCACTGCTTTATCCCCTGCCAAGTAGTCATAGGTATTCCACAGAATTTGATAATCAGATACAAGTCCTATCTCAGGGGAGAGTTATTCAAGCTCAAAAGCAGAAAATAACTCTACTTGGTTTTCTTTTTAGTCCAAAGAAGGTGCATTTGTTGTCAGAGATTCAAGCCACCAAGGATTCCTTACGCTGTCCATGTATTCACGAGCTAAAGGGTGAGTTGCTCCAAATAGTTAAGGTTTGAATCAAAAGGTGATGGAATAGCTTCCCCCAAACTCCTTGGGATAAGTGGGCAGGTTGGACATGCAGTGCACGAGAGCAGGGAACCACTGCGATGCTACTCCTGCAGAGTTAATTACCCTATGTGCAGAAACATTGATGGTGGGCAGTGGATCTGGGAGTCAGGGTGCAAATGTCCTGCCAAAACAAGATTAAATGCACTCATTAAAATCCCCAAATAATCTGTCGTGGAGGCCATGCATGCCACCCACATAATGCAGGCAACAAGACCTTACATTTGCATCTTCTCGCCTCTCTTTCTCTGTGGAGAGCCTCGGTTGCCACACCATGCTGCCACAGCCTTTGGTCACCGCACCAAACTGCTTCCTTTCTCTGCAGGTTCTGCACACTGTAAATTCATTCCAGATTCTGCTGTCCCCAGACTTCTGGTTTTCTCCTAAAATCAGCTCACCTCCTCATTCTCCAGTCTTCTTTTGCTGGAGAACTGCCACAGGACTCGCTTTTCCCCCACCTCAGTGGCAATCACCTATGGCACTGACTTACCCCTTCTTGAGCTGCCTTATACACTCAGCCCTCCTGCATCCTCCTGCATCAGTGGCGTCTGCTTTCCTTCTCCTCCTCTTAGAGCAAGCCAGAGGTGAGAGGAGCAAGGAAAAGGCGTCGTTGCTACCACCCCCCTCTTCCTCTCTCCCTCCCCTCCTCAGAAAAGTGGGGCGAGCCCTCCCTGCCACCCCCTGTGCTGGGCACAGGCTTATGTTTGCAGTAGGGTACCAACCTTCAGCAACCACCTCCAGCCTGAAATGCTAACCTAACTTCTTCATTTTGAATCTCCCAGAAAGCAGGGTTAGACGGGCAGCCAAATGTACAGAAAGCAAGAAAGACAGATAATGTGGAAAAATATGGAAGAGTAAATGTATCAAATAAAGGCTCCAGTGAGGAGCCTTTTGAGAAGCAGAACAGAAAATGTATTCTCACAGTATACATGAATATGTTTTTAACTTTTGGAGGGGAGCTCAGGTAATGAAGGGCATTTTAGGTTTAAAAGCTTAGATTCAGATAAGTGCTGAACTAGGAGGAACATCTGTTAAACACTATGGTTATTTCTTATGGATGCAATGATACCTGTCAATAAAAAACATTGTGCAGTATCTCCCAAAGTTGGGAGAGAGATCCACTCAAGGAGTCTTTTTTTTTTTCCTTAAACACTATCCCAGCTACATACAGCCATTTTAAGTTGAGAATTGTACCCCAAGTTTTCAGATTTTTCTGTGCTTTCTTTCAAAGTGAAATTTAATCAGATTTATGGTATAAATTATTTTTACTGAAAATTATAATCCTTTGTTGATTTCAGAAGTCACAGTGGAGATATTCGACATTATCAAATTAAGAAAAACCACTTGGGACAATATTATGTAGCAGAAAAATACTTCTTTTCTTCTGTTCCTGAACTCATCGAGTATCATCAACACAATGCTGCAGGTAATGCATGCAAGCTGATAAGGTTTTACAGCTGATGATTTCAAGCTCCTCAGGACTTTGGGAGATTGGAAATCACTCTTCCTCTAATACTTTCCTTATAAAAAGAGACACGAGTTTTTCTATTGCTAATGAATTCAAGTATGCCATGATCCTTCCTGCCAAAGTCATAGCTGTAGTGTGCATATACCATGGGGGAAGTGAACCTACAAACTCATCTACCTGTATTAAATGAATTTTACAAAGCTAGAAGCCTACTGTACTGGACAAACTCTAAGCAAAAGTAACTTCAAGAAATAAGAAATGTACATCAGATTCCAAATATTTTTGTTTGAGAAGAGGTACGAAATAGCATACTTTAAAATTGAGTAATTAGTCAACAGAATATTGTTGCTTTGTCCCCAACAGGTCTTATCACTCGTCTCCGACATCCAGTTGGATCAACTGGATGTTCTTCACCAGCAACAGCCGGATTTAGTTATGGTAAATTTTTTATCTTCTTTTGGTGGAGATTTAAGTATCTGCCTAGGCAAGAATTCAGATCACATTCACCCAGCTAATCATTAAGTTGTATCTGTACCTGAGATTTCCTAGTAATAAGAAACACATAAGCAGCCACGTATTCACCAGAAACAGAAACTCATTTCCTCCTAAGGCATCAGTACCAAATGAGACACGTGACTCGAGTCCTTCTGTTCAGCGACTGTCGTGTTTCTCTTCCAACCACCAGTGCATTTCAGAACTACCTGGACTCTTCTAAGCAGGCCTAAGACTCAAATATACATTTAATAGCTTTTCAGAGGCTGATTTATTGAAATGGTTCAGAAATTGAAATTAATATTATTAATGGGGAAGATTTTCCTTGTCAATTCTGCAAGTTCTAGAAATAATAACGAAATCTTATACAGTATTAGAAAACAAGCAATAAATACCAGTTTTGTGTATATAGATCAGGAAGTTCATATCATCTGGCTGATGATAGGAACCTTGAAAATCATGTATCTTTCCAGTGAATGTTCCCATTAATTGCAAGGCTTAATATTTCTGAAGGGCAGAACTATTGTGGTTATTAAAATAGAGACAGCCAGTAACAATTTCTGTAGCAATACTATCCATCCAGAACTGGTTCAGAGTTCAACATCACACACGATAATGCCAAAAAAGTTCTCATATGTAATCAAAGCTAAATACTTGGGTTATCTGCAAGCCTCAGACATTCCTACATTAAGCAATTTAAACACTAATCGCATTCTACAAGCTGTAAAATAACATTTACATATAAACATATATGAACACATGGAAATTTTCAGATATTTAAAACTCATGCTATAGTTGATGACCAATTGTGATGTTTTGCTGCATGCATTAGCTGCAAATAGCAAGGCACGTCTCCTGGAGCATGGCCTGACTGTTGTAACATATTGAGTTGCTTTTATAGAGGAGTGGGAATTAAACCCATCTGAACTGACGTTCATGAAGGAAGTTGGGCGCGGGCAGTTTGGAGTTGTTCAGCTGGGTAAATGGAAAGCAACCATCAAGGTTGCCATCAAAACAATCAATGAAGGTGCAATGTCTGAAGATGATTTCATTGAGGAGGCCAAACTGATGATGTAAGTACAAAAGCTTTTGTATCTGACAGTTGACATTGAGAAGACCAAGAAATAAATATAACCTAATTCCATTTAAAACAAACAGACAAATAATTTTGATTGGAATGGTGGATGTGCAGGACAGAAAAGCTGATATAAAGGTCTAAATAGGACTGACACGGATGCTTGCTGCCGCCTGTCACCAGACTCTTTCTGTAGAGCATGCACTGCTTTGTGCTGTGGAGCTCAATGGGGAATAAATATGCTGATAAATAAATGTGCTCCTACAACTATTCTTTAATCCGTAATTCAGTGCCTCTAGGTCCACTGGCAGAGCTTATACCTAACTAAAGCTTTTGAGAAATTATATTACCATTTCTACTAATTCTGTAAATTAGGGAAGTATCCAGACCAGGTCTTGGCACAGCCCAGAAAAGAAGAACCCTTGCAGGATCATGTCCCCTCCTTGAAAGCCAAGCATAACTAGGCATTTCCATTTCACATCCTCCAAATCAAGCTTTGCATTCACTGCATTCATGTAACTGATGAACAATTATGAATTCAAGGAGTGCGCTTTTTGGAGGAAACTGTAGGCAGAAATGTGTTAGAGAGTGGGACAACTCTGAGGCCAGTTGAACTGAATACTGTTTATCAAGTACTGAAAATATTTTTCAAAACCATCACGAGAATCAAAGGTCAAGTTACCTGCCAAGGACAAATGCTAGACTGTCTAAAGTGCGATTTTAAACAGGAAACTCTCCCACCCAAAGCTGGTCCAGCTTTACGGAGTGTGCACGCGCCACAAGCCTCTCTACGTTGTGACTGAGTTCATGGAAAATGGGTGCCTGCTCAATTACCTTCGGCAAAGGCGAGGGAAACTCAGCAGAGACATGTTGCTGTGCATATGCCAAGATGTGTGTGAAGGGATGGAATACCTGGAAAGAAATAGCTTTATTCACCGTGATTTAGTAAGTACAATAGGTTTTCTGAAGTTCTTGGTAAATTTTGGCAGGATGGAGCATGCCACTGCATTTTATGGGACGCTAATATGTCCTGTAAGACTTCAGCCCTGCAGGATCTAGGAAGCCAATAGTGTTTTCCTGCCTGTAAACCAAAACTTTCCAGCTGTTCTTTTGTCTGTGAACAGCTGGAAAAACTCCTTGATAATTGAGAGAAGTCATAGAAAATTGGGATATTAGCACAGAGCAGGCCGGTGTTAGTACATCCCAATCCAGGAGTATCATGCAGTGATCACAACACAACCAAAATCACAGCAATACAAAAGGTCAGCAACAATGAGGATTATTTTTTTAAAACAAAATCTTTTTCTATCTACATTTTTTCTGCTCCCTAATGACTTACCTTGATGCTGGGATGTCCGGGTGGCTTTTCTGCCCTACCCCTCATACACAGGGAACTGCGGGAGAGGAGCTTGTTTCCTTACTCTCTGCTTTTTTTGTTCCATGCTTACATCTGGATGCAGAGAGGAAATCTTCCTGCTCTCCTCCCTAGTTGCCTGAAGAAATGTAAAATTTTGAAAATTTCCAACGAGTTCCTGATTTCTATAATGAAAAATTCACAAAATAATTTTAAAAAATCACATTGAGTGTCCTAATGCTAGTGTTCTGGAAAATATCTGCTTGGATAACTCGACTCTGCAGCCTAAAATTTCTTTCACCATGCAGGAATATGTAAAAATACTGCAACTCATACTACAATGATTTAAGCTGATATATGCCATGGATGTGTAACTACCCAGTGGCGAAATACGGTCACTGACTCAGAGCCAGAAGTTCACTTACATTTTTCAGCAAGACGCTTATCTCCTTTTAGAATATAAACAGTACGAGCTGAAACAAAAATAATCAGCTGTTGTATTTTTCTTAAAATGCTTTAGCACAGATTTCAGATATGTTTCTCTCATTTTTTCCCAGGCTGCAAGAAACTGTTTAGTCAACGCTGAGCACATCGTTAAAGTATCTGACTTTGGCATGGCGAGGTACGAGGCCGCTGATGCAGGTTTAGTGAGGACCTGTTCTCAGGCAGCTGCAGCATGACCTTGAGTCAACCTCATTGCTTGCTTTGCTGATTTGGGGAATCCCACTGCAGTCAGTTTTTGAATTCTGATGGAAATGATAATGTTGTTTAACTGTTGTACCGTGAGCTGAATGTTGTGTCCTCCTTTTGCTATCAGTGAGCGCCAGACAGGTAAACAAAGTGCCTGGTAAACTTCAGAAATAGTTCAGCACAGGGCTGCCAGAAGATTGAAGAAACAAGTTCCACAACTTTTCTGAGCAGCAGGGAGGACAGAAAGTCGCTAGGGACAGATCCAGGTGCTGGCGCTGACCTTTAGAGGCAGCAGGGGCTGAGTAGGTCAGGCAGGAGGCAGGCAGGACTGGCAGGGCGGGCAGGAAGCGTGGTGTGCGCTGCTCTAGCAGGGAAGTGGTTTTTCTGCTTAATGAGAGGACCAGCCAACCATGGAGAAAGAGAGCAAAGTGCACTCTGACAAGCACAGGCCAGAGAAACGTAGCTCTGCCCTCGCGGACTTCCCCCAGAGGATGCTCTGCGTTTTATAGCTGAGCTGACTGAATGACCGACTGCGACCCAAAGGGGTTGTCTCACTCCCTCCTGCTTTCCCCTTGCAAGCCCAGCACAAAGCTCTCCTCTTCTGTGTTTTACTGGCTGCTTTTCCTGCTGGATTAGCGGAGTGAATCGGCTCACTTTGGAGGCAGACGAGCTTGAAGGGCAGCGCATGGCTCTGAGCAGGAGGTGGTGGTGACATTCACCAAGTCAAGTCATTAGATCAGCACAACCGTGCTGCTTATCTTTCCCATAGGTATTGCCTCCTATTTCTAAACTAAGGATTACAACATCCCAGCAGTTCATAACTAAATACTTGTTTTTCAAGAGGCTGTCCCATACCATGGCAGTGCCCACTGGTTGCACTGCTCCCCAAAAGGGTAAGGTCAGTATCAGGGGTCCAGACTCATCCAAATGCACCAGAAACCACAGTAAGAGACCAAAGGGCTGTCAGGGTCCAGGCTGAGAATAATGGACCTGAATGGCTCACTGCTGCCAAAAAGTGGAGACCAGTGGTGTGGTTCTAGGACAGGCGCTCACTCTCCTGGGGAGACCATGGACAGGTGATGGGATCGCAATCTTACTATTCAGAGCTCACACAACTGCCACTGCTGGTTATTTTGTCCTGTTATTTCATATGTTCCTTATCCAATAACCTCTCATCTTTCTGTGCCTGCACCAAAATAAGAAAGGGAGAAAAAGAGATGATTGTTCTTAATCCGACCTCCTTTAAAAGGGGATTTAAAAGGTGCCTTTCCATTATGCCTTCTCTGAGAACAAATGTTGCATAGGGCATATCTCTCATCTGCTCAGGAACATTAATACTGGGAAAATGCACACAGAGTTTGTACATAGGTAGGGACCAGTCTAATAGCCTTTTAAAATGTTGCCCTATAAATGCCTGCGTTGGGCACATAATTTCAACTTAACTGGGAGGTCAGCTCCTATAAGCTTGGGCAAAGAAAATTACTTTTCTTGCACCTGCAAGAGCTGTTGCCTTGTATGTGATGAATATTTCTGTGTTGCTTCTGGAATAACGTGCCAGAAATAATGTCTGTGAGGTTAGGCAGTGGATTCCACCCTGCAGTTACGATATGTAGCCCCCTGCCAGCAGTGTTTGGGTACAAGTGGTTGAAAAGGTGGACTCTTTTAAAAGGAGACAATAATTACTTATTGCTGCTAGATTTCCTGCCCATGGTGTAGGGATCTTTCCTATCAATATACACCCAGAAGATGACAATAGCAATCACCCTGTCGGTCTTGCAGAGCATATTAAAATGTTTCATTCCAACATACTTCTCATGAAAAATTCAAATCATTCATTTAAACAGAAATCTCTTTAAGTGCATAGCTTCCAGTGTGGGTATCTGTGTGCATTTTATATTAAATTAGTGATACCATTTCTTTGTTTCTAAATAGACGCTGTATTTTTATGGAATTATAAACCATCTGTGGAAATGTCAGAACTGCTTGCCACTTAACTGCCATTAAAATATACACTGTTTCCTGTTATTCTTTAGGTATGTCATTGACGACGAATATATCAGCTCTTCAGGTGCCAAGTTTCCAGTCAAATGGTCATCTCCTGAAGTCTTCCATTTCAAAAAATATAGCAGCAAATCAGATGTCTGGTCATTTGGTGAGTTGATTAGGTTAATGTGCTTCCCTAAAACTACTGATGTGATTTAAAGTGTAACTTTTTACTCATACTACCTATCTTAAGCTTGAGTCCTTCCCATTTTTCAAATCTTCCCTATATTGGATGAGTATGCTTTTCAATAGGAAGATTCTATGCCTAAATATTAGATTTTGACTGAAATGTGCATTCTTGGTACGTCTCCATTAACCAAACATATATTCATCTCAGCTTCATGGACCACCATCTTAGCTGGCTTAAAAAAAAGCAGAATTGTATCAGCTGAAAATGTTTTTGGTAGGCTGTCTTCATTCAGCTCACATCGCCCATGGTTTCATGCAATACAGAAAAAATCAAGAGTGGGTTTTGTGTTTCTAATGTTGCTAAATAGCTTGTGGGTTTGGGGTTTTTGTTTTGTCCTAAATATTTTGGTTCAATTCTAGGTGTGCTGATGTGGGAAGTTTTCACAGAAGGCAAAATGCCTTTTGAAAGTAAGTCAAATTCTGAAGTTGTCCGTGAGATTTCCCAGGGTAACCGACTTTATCGACCACATTTGGCATCACATACTGTGTACAAAGTCATGTACAGATGCTGGCACGAGGTTTGTTGCCCTTTTTTTCCCTGTGATATTACTTTATTGTTAATTTGCAATGTTGATGTAAAAGCAATCTTAAAAAATTGAGGCATTAAAGCCTTATTTCACATCTGTGGCATCCTCAGTATCTCTCATTATGCTTCCAATATAGCATTATGTTTATGATATAGCATTAGGGTTACAAGCCTCAATTTCTTTTGACTGTTGCACCTAATGAATGTAAAGCACGTCATCAGTACAATAGGTCTAGACCACCCCTGGCTTTCAGTATGCCCCTATGGTCTTGCTTCTCTCCTGCGTCAAATGTAATAGTTTTTCATACCTCTGTATCATGTGTAGCTCTCTCTAGCTCTACTCTGAACGATAACCTTAACACACTCATATACAAAGTGGGTATGCCCACTAAATGTGGATTTTAAACCCCATTTTTCAGGTGTGCATCAGTACCTCTGTACATCACTACAGTGCCTAGGCTGTACCTCTTTCACCCTTTCCACCCTGATTTAGTATTTGAAGTTCTTTCTCCATTTCCTGCCTGACGAACCTAGTGACTTTCTATGATGGTGTGACAACAACAGTGGACAAGGGAAAACCAACGGACGTCATCTATCTGGACTTCTGCAAAGCCTTTGACATGGTCCCCCACAACATCCTTCTCTCTAAATTGGAGAGCTATGGATTTGATGGGTGGACTGTTAGTGGATAAGGCACTGGCTGGATGGTCACATCCAGAGGGTCAATGGCTCGATGTCCGGATGGAGACCGGTGACGAGTGGTGTCCCTCAGGGGTCCGTACTGGGACCGGTGCTGTTTAATGTTTTCATCAATGACTTAGACAGTGAGATCGAGTGCACCCTCAGCAAGTTTGCGGATGACACCAAGCTGAGTGGTGCGGTTGACACACCAGAAGGACAGGATGTCATCCAGAGAGACCTGGACAGGCTGGAGAGGTGGGCCTGTGTGAACCTCATGAGGTTCAACAAGGCCAAGTGCAAGGTCCTGCACCTGGGTCAGGGTAACCCCCGGTATCAGTACAGGCTGGGGGAAGAAAGCAGCCCTGCCGAAAGGGACTTGGGGGTGCTGGTGGATGAAAAGCTGGACATGAGCCGGCAATGTGCGCTGGCAGCCCAGAAGGCCAAC